CCATCGATGCCATACAACCATTGGTAAGCCATCACTCGTAACACCATTTGTATCTCATTTCGCAGACCTATCACTGCCTATCACTTCCTCCAACTCTTGACCACTAAATGGTGTGAAAATGCATTTCTTGTTATCTCTATTGCAATCTCTATTATGTGTCTAATTGTTGTGATAATTGTATGCATTGTGTGGACTGTGATGTCGGATGAGATGGCAATCAAGTGTAAGTGAAGAGTAGGTGAAGATGTGGTGATCGGCGATGTGTTGGATGAGACGGACGTCTGTGGCGGTGATGTCTGCGATGTCGATGGCCTTGACATGAATGTATACATTGTCATGACTTGTGGTGTTATGACTCACTCACCGATCGATACAATAATAATAATAATACAGTAATAATAGCCATAATAGCGAAGCATTGAATCTCTTTTTGTGGTTTACTTTCTCATTATTACCACATTATATAATACATGTATATATGAATGTATCCATTGTTTTACTGCATTTTATGATCGTATTGTAAATATATTTATCTCAATATAACCGCAAAAATGTGTTATATTTGAGATCGATTTGTGTCCCAATTCTTGTGAGTGTGACTCAAGAGAGACTCCAAGAGTTTTGAGTTTAACTTTGAGTTTAGTTTAGATCCAAATCACTCTTATTTTTAGAGTCTAATCGACGAGAACTTCAGTTATGAAGTAATGAGAAATATTTAATACAATTAACTTCTTTATAATGGGTTGGGTTTTGTGGACAATAAGTGTATTGTGAACGCAAAACATAACAAAACTTTTTCATTTGAGATAATCTTCTAATTTTAGAATTGAAAACTAATTCTTGTCTTTCTTTTGTCACAGATTTATGTCATCAATGAATTCCTAAGACATTGTTTCCTAACATTTGGTGCCAAACAAGTAATCGTTAATTATTTAATAACTAAATAATAATGAGATTCGCTATTGAGAAGAGACTATCACTAAAATTCGTCTGAACGCCAAATAAAGAGGTAAATTGTCTCATATTATAAAACATTATTTTATTTCAAGATTTAATTTACCTTTTAAATGTATTTAAATGGTATTTAAATTTTGTTTATATTAGAAATTATTCTTTACTTTATAAATTATTTGATTTAATCATTTACTGCTATATTTTTATTAAAAATGTTTACAATGTTTCCCTCCGTTTAAATCGATTGTTAATGTATTTTATTTGGATATTATTTTCATAACTATTATATTTATATTAAAAATGTTATGTAATATAAATATTTAATTTTATTATTCTTGTACCGGTAATAGTGCGAGTGCTTTACATATTATTGTTATTATTAATGATAACAACAAAATATTTATTGTAAACTTCCTCTTCAATGTATTGGCATTAATGATAACTAATGTTTTCATTACTCCAAACATTTATCACAAGAGTTTAAATGTATTTATTTTAGCCGTTATATTGCAAGTCATGAACTACTATTGACTTGAATTTTTTATATTGTTTATAATTATAAATTAAATAATTGTTTAGTCCATAAAAGGTTGTATACATAGTTGTAATTAATTGCTATATTTTGCTTTGTTTTGTTGTTTTTCACAGCTATGCTCTCAACAGACCGCAACTCGAAGTCAGTCTCTTGTGATTCTCTATTCTATGAGAGATCATCACTAAAGAGAAAACTAATGTCGAGAACACCGTCGGGAACGGGAGGGATGGGAACGTCGACCATATCCTTCAAGAATGACGACTATAATTATTTAATTAATTGTAATGAACTCATCAAAACTTGTAAGGTATCACATCTCACACAAACCCATCATAAGTCAATCATTCTATCGTTTGAATTTATGTAAAACTTTTTACATAACCATAAATAAACTTTATATTAATTATCGTTTAATGAAAATATTCTTTAATAACATATTATAGTATATAATAAGTTAATTAATTGTTATTTTGATTTTTGTTCACCAATAGGAAGCGCTTCTGGAGAACGAGTCAACAGTAATAAACACTTTTTCCGATATAACTACTGCTGAAGGCATTAACGATGTCTCACCGGAAGATTATATTTCGGTATTCATTATTGGTTTCATTAATAAGCTTTTAATTATAGTTTTAAGCGTAAATTTAACGCATAATTTATTGAGACATAAAGTTTTTGTATCAAATGATCTAAAGAGGGTTCTACCATGTAAAATAATTATCTAGTGCTTTAAATTTGAATGGCCATATTATCTAATTATAATTAGTAAAATTAGTTGTGAATATTGAAATAAAACATTTAATTTGAGCGCTTTTAGACAGTATGGCCACTCGCCCATTTGACGTGCTATATTATAATGAGTTGACATGATGATGAATTGTTAGATGATACATTTAAATGAGTTAATCTCTTGGTGTGCTCATAGGGTGACCAGATGGCCAGAAATGGCCTGGATTGTCCAGAAATTAAGTAGTATGTCCAGAATTTGCAAAATATTTTAAACATTACGTCTATGAAGGTGTCCAGGACAAATTAATTTAAAGTAGATAAAAGTCCAGGATTTTAATGTAGATTTATAGTCAAAATCCAGAATTTGGCTAAATTCATCTGGTTACCCTATGTGCTCGGGCAAAACCCTCATCAGTTTGAATACTAAAACAATGTTTCCAAAAGTTTATATTTGATTATTTGGATATGGCGTGTATTGTTGTGATTGAATTTGTCTCAATTATATAATGCATTGAAACCATAGGTCCAACAAACTCAAGAACTCCAGAAGAATAGTTTGGCGGAGTTTATCAAATGGTTGAGTTATACGGAACACCAATTGGAGACCATCTGCTATTGTGCCAACACTAAGATTAAGTCCGATTGGAAGGACATCTTAAGCCATCACAAAGTAAGCGCAAAGTACCATGGTCCATGGACATTGCACCCATCAAATTATATTAGCATTTTATGCTTTCGCAAACCCCAACAATATCTTACAAATTCTTTAAACTAAACTATTATGGTATATAGTTTATGCCTTTACATTATACATTATATAGTACATGGTAATCTGTAATTGTTACATCGATTAATGTTTAACTTACAGTTAAATGTTTAGTTTAATTGTAATGAATTGACACGAATATGTTTTCCGCTTTTGCGTATGGCTTTTGGCGCACAATCGTGTGAATGCATTAATTGATGTTTCATTAAACTATTTGCAGTGTATATTGTGCCAAATGAATGGATTGTATTAATATTTTAATGGTACATTTATGAATGTATGTTGTTATTGCCGGCAGTCAGATGATGCTACTAATGCTATCTATGCTGACACTAAAGAACCTTCATTACCGGTTATGCCAAATGAGACACTATCAATATTTAGGTCTTTATTACTATTTTATACGATATATTGAGTAGAAGTGAATCCGGTTTTTGTTGAATTGAGACAGAGTTTGAATGTTTCATTTGTCGACCACAACATGTCTCTAGTATATCAAAAAAGTTTTGCAACTTTTTCTCCAGAAGTTTCACTCAAACAAACTTCAACTATAAAAACATACGATAAAAACAAGTTTTTTAAAACCAGGTTTGAGAGAATGTGCGCCAATTTCTGAGCAATGCATTTGTTTTGACTCATTCTTTCGGTCGATGTTTTCTATGGAAAAAACATTTTCTGAATTTGAAATTGGCTTATGAAATATATAATAATATGTTTTGTTTAATGTATTCAAACTCGTCATTATAGTTGATATAATGTGAGCTGTTTTGCATGACTTACACTTCCGTTTATAGTATTTAAAGTATTATTTGTATGCAATACTCAGTACTTTAGGTGAACAATTGCAGTCCCTCTCATAGCTGATACAAGTAATGCATTTCTTTGGCTAACTTTAACTGTAATTTGAATTTGCATTCCGAGCGAAACGAAAGTAATTTTTTCCAAATATAATTGCCTTAATTGTCATATGAGGTGACCATCAAAATAGTTCACCAAAGGGTTGGCCAACTATTACTGCCAACCATTACAATGAACTCGAAAATTGAAGATAATTTATTTATTTTATGCCAATATTCATAATAATTATCATTATTAATGAGGTGACCATCAAAATAGTTCACCAAAGGGTTGGCCAACTATTACTGCCAACCATTACAATGAACTCGAAAATTGAAGATAATTTATTTATTTTATGCCAATATTCATAATAATTATCATTATTTTAATGATTTTATGAATACGTTATTTAGATTTTACATTATAAAAGAGCCAAAGCCTTAGGGATTAGTTTATGTTGTGATACGAGATGTCAATTGTTTGTGAATTACAATTGAAATAATTGTATGCAATTGTATGAAGTGCTGTATAATAGTTTGTATCATACAATGTCTTCGGCCATTAACGAGTGTTTTATTTTTTTTATTACTCAAAAAGTACAAAAGATATTTTAATCAAATCAATTGCAAATTAAAGATAAATGTTTGGCATTTTAGTTATTATTGTTAAATAAGTGCTAGCACTGCAAACACATGGCTACGGCACGCACTCAATATTCGGTTGAACAAAACAGTCGAAAAAGAGAGAGAGAGAGAGAGACCATGAGTTCTTTATCACTCAAACACTATTATGATGTGCACGTCATCTGCGGTGACATTAAGGCCACAACAAATGAAAACCTAAACAAACATTGAGTGAAAACTCAGACATAAAACACTCGAATAGAACTTATTTTATGAAAAGGTTTTTTAAAGTGAAAGAAACAAAAACAACGGACACAGCGATGCTCTACGTTAACCACAATTCGGGTCATGTATAGGATTACTATTTCTATAGACTTAGCATTACCCTTAAGATCAGTATTGCCATAGACTTAACGTTATACAATAGGTTTAGAACTGTCCATGTTAAACCTATGTCATAGACTTGACATTCGTGCCATAGGATTAACATTACACATAGGATAACATTAGCCCCATGTTAAAGTATAGACTAAAGCTAAATCACATATTAAACACAAAGGGGTTTATTATTCTAAAGGTATTTAAGGTTCTGGTCTATGAATATATAAAATAATTTCCACGAAGTCTACTATCGTTTGATAAACTAAACTAAATAATAAACTCAAACTGACCTCTCGTTTAGTCGAAAGGGCGAGAGAGAGAGAGAGAGAGAGAGACCATGAGTTCTTTATCACTCAAACACTATTATGATGTGCACGTCATCTGCGGTGACATTAAGGCCACAACAAATGAAAACCTAAACAAACATTGAGTGAAAACTCAGATATAAAACACTCGAATAGAACTTATTTTATGAAAAGGTTTTTTAAAGTGAAAGAAACAAAAACAACGGACACAGCGATGTTCTACGTTAACCGCAATTCGGGTCATGTATAGGATTACTATTTCTATAGACTTAGCATTACCCATAAGATCAGTATTGCCATAGACTTAACATTATACAATAGGTTTAGAACTGTCCATGTTAAACCTATGTCATAGACTTAACATTCGTGCCATAGGATAACATTAGCCCCATGTTAAAGTATAGACTAAAACTAAATCACATATTGAACACAAAGGGGTTTATTATTCCACAGGTACATGTATTTAAGGGTCTGGTCTATGAATATATAAAATAATTTCCACGAAGTCTACTATCGTTTGATAAACTAAACTAAATAATAAACTCAAACTGACCTCTCGTTTAGTCGAAAGGGCGAGAGAGAGAGAGAGAGAGAGAGAGAGAGCAAACAAAATAATTGATTGTTTTCTAACAAAAACGTTTAATTTATATAATTATATATGAGGTTCATATCCGGCAACAATATTATTGAGTTATTGTATGACAACTTCGCAAGAAATCTACTTTTAGTAAAAAGGATCCAATTGTTGATGAATTTTGTTGCGGATAAACAATATTTAAGAGACTTTTAAAAGTAATACAGGGTGTATAAAAATGAACCTAACAAAAGTAAACTCGAATATTTTGAAAAGTATTTGACCTATAAATTCAAATATTATATCAAATTAATTGTAAACTCAGGGAGTTTTTGTTATGATATGGACAAAATCTTTGTGTGGTTCACACAACTCATTGTGAAATGCAATGAATGCCACATAAATTTAGCTACAATTTGTTCACAAAAATAATTGGTTCACACAACGCATGTTTTTTAACATGATGTACGGGTTTATATTTTAAGATTTGGTTCACACAAATGCTTAGTTCACAAAACTCATGGTTCAACTAAATCATGTTTCACTGTATTGCTTAAATTTCTAGATTTTTTGAGTACTTTTCAAAATATTCGAGTTTACTTTTGTTAGGTTTGTTGTACACCCTGTAAATTGCAGACAATGTTTTGTTATCTAACAAAACAATCATTTGCCCGAACTTTAAAGTTGAGGTAAAAACAAATTGTTTTCCGATATTTATTAAATAATTACATTAAATCGTGAATTGTTTTTCTTTAACAACAAATTTATTTTTAAAACAAGAGTAAAATGATTAGTGAATAATATGTACGCATATCTGTATTATAGTGTATTGTTTTTTGTTTTGAACTAATTTAAGATACAAAACAATAATAATTTTAATGAATGATAAGTACGCTATCAATCAATGAACAGTTTATTTAGTCATTCGTGAGTTCAGACATTTAAATCAATAATTAATTGTAAAACAATAAATAAATGTATTGATTCAAATGAAAATTAAGTGGCCTAAGTGTCATCTGGTGCAGCAAAAATTACTAAAATGGTATCATTATTGAAGTTAACATTCTTAGGCACCAGAAACCAAGTGTCATAAAATTCACGTCAATAGTTAAGACACAGGAATATTTTATATGACACGTTAAAATAATGTATTCCTATGGGGTATTTATTTCGGCATTTGCCGACGTGTGATTTTAGACAAATCGATCATGTTTAAACGAACTACCTTATAAACCACATATAATACAATATATTCTTACAAAATGAGCAAATATTTCGACTTAAATGATATCAATCTATAGCGAGTACATGTGTTGTACAACTCGTTGGTATTCAAAAGCAAGGTATAGATTAGAATTTATAATTTCTAACAACATTTCGTTCATTAAAGCGATGGAAAACTCAATTTTTCAACAAATTTCACGACTTCTTAACGAAGAGTATATAATATAATATACTGTATCTAATTAATATTATTAACTACAATAAGAAAAATGTGAATATCACTCGTATTTGAATAATGTTAAATAAAATACTGTTAACTATATCGTTGATTATAATTATAACCCAAACAGTTGAGTCAAAGTTTGGGTCATTTTCTCATTATATCTGAATTAACGTAAGGATTGATATAATTTGAGCGCAAAATTACAGCAGATATCCAAAAATATGCTGAAATGGGAACATCTCTCGAAAGAGTGAATAAGGCATACGATTTGTTAAGAAATTGAGAGACACTATGAATACGATAGAAATACAATGAAATACATGACCCATAAAGGTATACTCCATCTGAAGTTCAATTACAAAATAAGTAACAAATATGAAAAATACTGACAATTTCTTCGCTCGCCTTTCAAAGCGAACTGAAAAAACTAAAAGCATTACAAAACAGATACACAAACACAACATAACTATTATATAAAAAGCACAACAAATATCTATTTAGTTGTGAGACTTAACATACAATAACATATTGACCTAAATGCGAGGAAACAGACTCTACAGTTGGGAATAAAAGTTGCCAATGGTATACAAGTATTGGTCGATCACTCATTTTCACAGGACTGCATGTAATTCATATCTAACATAAATGATAATTCTATGTCTAATACAAATATTTTTACACGTCTTTTAATAATGAATACTTATTTAAAATGATTACAAAGAAATTCATCGATACTCTGTACAAATGTGAGCAATAGTAAGGTATGGCATACTATGAACCAAATCGGCACTCAAATACTATGTAGAGATATAGCGGGTCATTGATCCTTAAGTTAGACCACATTCAATGTTTACTTAGATTTTAAGTTACGATATGAGACAAAATGAATAGTTATTTCATTCAAATGTAAAATTCAAATAAACTTAGTTTTTACGGCAACTGAAATAAGGAAAAATATTTAGAATTATGTTATAATAATATGTCTATAATATGTGGCCATCGATAAGGTATTCAATATAATGTTTAAAACAGTTAATGAGATTAATTGCATCGAAATAAAGTTAAAGCATTTTTATGTCAAAACATATAGACATCCTTTGGCACAATATTTTCAAAATGCCTTCAAAGGCTTCTAAGAAAATACTAATTGTGTTGTATGTGTGGAGAGAGAGAGAGAGAGAGAGAGAGAGAGAGAGAGAGGCCAGAAAAAACCATTTATGAGAATGCGATCCAATTATAGATAAAAGGCGTGTAA